TAAACCCTAAACCCTAAAAACGATCACCCTGAAACCCCAAAGCTTGAAACCCCACAAGCCCTAAACACCCATGGAAGCCCAGAACCGTTAAACCTCAACATCCCAAAGCCTAAGATCCCAATCGCCCTCAGAACTATCACCCCGAAATCCCAAAGCTTGAAACCCACGAGCCCTAAACACCCATGCAAGCCATTAAGCCTCAACACCCCAACGCCTTGAACACCTTGAAGACCCTCAGGGTTGATGGTTTAGGGTTTAGGGCCTTCAGGATTTTTGGGTCGTTTGAGAGGGTTTAAGGCTTTAGGGTTCGGACCGTTCGGCTTTCTGGGTCGTATAGGAGATATTAGGCATCGTAGTGTGGAAGATCTTGGGGTTGATACCCTAAACCCCCAAAGCCCTAACATTCTAAACGACCCAAATTTGTTGAAAGCCCCAAACCCTAAAGCCCGCAACCCTAAAAAACTCAAGACCTGGGACCTCTGAAGAAAACGCCTGTAATCCTAAAGCCTCAAAGCTGGAGACTAAAACCCCAAAGCTTGAAACACTCAAAGCCAAAAAACAAACTAAACGGTCTAAAAACCCTAAAAAAACCCAAACCAACAAAGCACTTAAAGTTCCCTGAAAGTTTCCTGATAGCACCCTTATTAATAGAACCCAGAAACCGCCGTCGGAGAGCCCAGAAACAGGCCTCGACGCTTCGCTCCACGGGAAGGGGCACTGGCACCTTGATAGCCAGATCAGGCTCTCAGGGATCTAGGGTTTTGGAAGTTACCAGGGGGTCTTAGGGTTTAGGGTTTAGGGGATTTTGGGTTTGGGGTTTAGGTGTTTTTGGGTTTAGGGGTTTTGGGGTTTTGGGGTTTTGGGGTTTGGGTATGGTGTAGAGAGTCAGGATTGAGGGTGTAGGCTTTACGTTGCTGGTCTAGGTTTTGGAGCTTCCGTTTTTAGATTTTAGGTATCTTTGAAGGCCTTAGTCCTCTCGAGGTTAAGTGTTGCGAAGCCCCATGGGGCGGGCTTAACGAGTTTATGGCCTGCGTTTTACGGAAACGCTGAAAGGATTCATGGCTTTTCGGTGGCTTAAAGCAAGAAGAGGGTTGTTAGGATATTCTTGGAGCCTAGGATTGTATGGCTCCCCCAAGTACCTTCGACTGGAGCGGTGATACGAAGCGCTGCAGAAGGTCATGCGGCCTCTATACATGTGAAAAGTCAGGTTGTGTTCGTGCAGCTGTATCACCACGTTCATGGCTTCATAACAGTCTATCACGAGGGTGATGTCGTTCTTCTCCTCCTATGACAAGACAAGTCTCTGTCTCTCTCTCTCTCTCTCCGCTGTTTTTTTTTCTGTCTCTCTCTCTCTCTCTCGCTCTCTCTCTCTCGCGCTCTCGCTCTCTCTCTCTCTCTCTCTCTCCGTGTCTCTCAGTTCTTGCTGCTACCTATGCATATGCGAGTCTGTTCATCTGTCGATCTCTTCGTCTCTACCCACCTGTCTAGCCAGCCTCTCCCCAATCAGCAGGTGAGAGCGTGAGGGGAGACAAAGAGACAGAGAGAGAGAGAGAGAATGAGAGAGAGAGAGGCAGAGACAGAGACGGAAACGGAGACGAAGACAGGGAGGGAGAGAGAGAGAGAGATGAGGATGTGAAGGAACAGAGAGAAGAATAAGAAGAGGAAGAGAAAAAGGAAAGAGCATGAAGGAAGAGAGACAGACAACGAACGAAAAAAATGCAAGCCCGCGTGCTGCTTCTGCGTAGGTACTCAGGAGCTGCTTCTGGACTCCTGGCAAGGGTTGTAGGCCTCTGAAGCCAAACACTCGGCATGTTCTGAACCGTTCAAGGACGGTAGCCTGGGTGCCAGGCATGGCGATGTCTTTGCACAGGAAGCTGCGGCCAAGCGAGCAAGGTTTTACAGGGTTTTAGGGATTTGGATAGCTGACAACAGAGCTTAAAAAATCAGTACTCTCAGGCGAGGTTCAGGTCAGTTTGGGCTTTTGCGGAAGTGCGAACTACACGATCTGAAAGCCCTGACGCTCAGGTCAGGGCAGGTCCAAAGCAGCCCAACCCGGAACCTCAACTCAGGCTCGCTGGCCGTAACTGCAGACTTTAGACCCCAGCTTCATCAGGGCAGCTTCCTGGCTGAAGGGGTCAAATCTTCCAATATTCAGCTATCCGATATCCCCTCGGACATCTAGAGGCTCATGGCAAGAACCTCGCACAGGACATTGATTTGGAAACTACGTGCTGGTGACAAGCACGCAACTTTGGGCAGCTGTAAGAGAAAGCTTCCTGCCTATCACCCGTGAAGACATGCTTGACGTGGGCAGCACCTTCCTGCTTCAACCAACAATCACACAGAACTCTGAACTCTAAATCAGAAACTCCAAGATTTCGAGCTTCAACAGGCCCCAGGGGCACAAGACCATCCGAAGCCTTGTAGCCCTGCATGCTGAACCCCAAGCCCAAGAGCTAAACCGTGAACACTCCTCCACAGGCTCGTCCACATATTCGATCTGCGGCACTTCCACGGTCCTTCTTAAACGTAGAGGGAAGCGTCGGGCTTAGGGCTTTGGGCTGGGGCTTCGCATGGGTTATGACATCGGCGGGCTTGAAGGTTTCGGGGCTCGTTTTGTGGTCTGGCCTGGGCGAGCAGGCTCTCAATGCGGAAGACACAAACACATGAATCCGCCTTCTTTGGCCAGGACAAAGAAACAAGTGATGACCCAAGGTGATGAGTCATAAGACTAAAACTTTCTTGTGGGGGCCAATTTGCAGACGTGTAATTTCATGCGCGGCATTCCGCATCTACTCGGGCGAGCAAGGTCCGAGCAATCTGCAATTTATGGGCCCTCTCTTCCAAGGTGTAGGGACCAGCTTGACGATCTCTCCTTGACTCCTAGGCTGAGGAGCACCGTCATGCAGTCTGGGTTGGGGTAGAAGCCCAGAGCGTCTGGTCGATCGCCTCCGCGGCCTGTCTACCAGCCATCTTGCTTGCCTCGTTGTTGAGACGGACCATCTTCCAGTCTTCCGTTTTTGCAGCCACCATCACCACCTGTATCTCGGCTGTACACACGGCTGTCCCGAGCTTCAGGGCGCTGAGAGGAACCGCGTCTCTTGGTTAGAAAGATTCGTTGACTTTGGGAGGAAAGGGGCCTCCTCATGAGAGGTGACCGTGTAGCCGGACACCTCCTTGGTTGCTGCATCGCAAAGAGATATGAACGATAGGATCCATGGAGGGATGGGCCAGCGAACCATGGGTAAGATACCACAAGAGAGTGCTGTGAGCCAGAAGACTTCCGCGACGATGGACGCATGAAGAAGGTTCGACTCTTCCCAGAGGAGTGATGGGGAGAACTCTGCCAATCTCTGACAGACCTGTCGTGCCCGTACGAAGAGCATTTTGCCATCAGCTCTCACCTTGTTGTCAATCGTGACATCCAGCCACATTTCACGACCATGGTGGTGTGGTCATGCCATCGACCAGATAATGCCGATGCATCAAATGAATTACTTCACGAGAACGACCGATGCGATGTTCCCATTTCGACCATGATCATCTTCCGAACCCGCGGCATGCCGCTCGTCAATTTGGAAAGTTGACCACGGCCTTCTTTCCGAATGGACTATTCACGTACGGTCCTTCCTTCCGAAGGCACGAGCAGACCTCGGCAGCCAGCTCCTGCCTCGCAAACTGCAATTCGCCTCCACCACTCTTCTGCGCAGGCAGCCTGCCAGAAGACGAAGGTTGCGAACAAGCAGTCCTTGACAAGATCGACAAGCGGACGCAAGATTGGCAGTAAGCCCTTCACGATCCACATTACCGGGTCTGCGAGGTCGCCACCTTGCGTCACAGGCATGAAGCCTGGACCGCCCCAAGATCCATCTCATTCTTACTGGCGCTCACCTCCTGGTCGAAGAGGTGGAAGGACAACCTCTTTGAGCTCTTTGGGCGGGCCTGGCCTGGGAGGTAATCTGGTTCATCCAGATCACCTCCCAGTCGAGGGCCGCCTCCCGAACCATCAGATTGCCGATTTTTGTGGCTTCTGTCAACAGCTCGGGGCTTCTATGCTATAATGTCTGAAGCCAAGGACCAAAGCTCGCCACTTGCAGCACGTTGATTCCCAAGCCTTCTGCTCCAAGCCTATCCAGCCCTGAACTCTTGTACACACCAGCCCGAACCCACAACCCCAAACCTGCGATCGTTTAAACTCTAAGCACCAGGCTCTGTTTTCGCTTTTGCCAATTCACAAAACTCTACGTCAATCGACAATGTGTTAATACAAAACGGGTACAAACATACCTTAAGGTTCAGGGCCAGGCCCTCGGTGTTTCACCGTCAAAGCAGTGCCGCTCTGCATCGACGCAGAAGAAGATCATGAGACTTGCAGCTGCAATCCCTAAACTTTAGATAACTTTAGTACAGCCTGAAAAGAAACCAGAATCAAAACCCCCGCTTCTAACCGGCAAGATCCAGGCCCGGCCTCTCAACTTTTTGCATGAACGGCACATAGTTCTCCTTCTGAACCGGAACTTCGACCTCGGCGCCACTGGGCACGGAAAGACAGACCCGCACAAAGACGTGTGACAGTGCACCCACTGGGCAGGGTGCCTTCCATCAGCAGCATGAACACCCAGGCACTGACTGAGAATCAAGAGTGAAGAAGATGATAAGAATCATCACCGTCGTCACCAACATTGTCACCCGCACCGTCATCGTTCTGCATCATCAAAGCTGTCGCAACAACTAACACTAGAACGCTCACGAACACAGCCACTGTTACTGCTACTGCTACTGCTACTGCGGCTCCTGCTCCTACCCCTTCTCCCAGGTTCTACTTCTACTCCCACTCCTGCTGCTCCTACTCTTCCTCCTGCTCCTACTCTTACTCCTACTCCAACTCGTACTCCTACCGCTATACTACTACTACCACTACTACCACTAGTCACTAGGTCCTACTACAACTACTACTCCTCCTACTGCGACTGTGTCTGCGTCTGCGTCTGCGACGGCGACGGCGACGGCGACTAGGACTGCGACTCCTACTCCTACTCCTACTCCT